GTTCGAACTCAAAAGCGATTGGACAGTTGAAAAGGTTCCCTCGTAAGTCATTCTTAATTTTTCTTACCATGTGACAGTCAAATCAACCCTTCGAATAGTCAAATCTGTGTTTCAATCACTACAGTATTGATACAACAATCCTTTTATATTACTTTTCACCTTTTATTTTCATCAGATTTTATTTGTGTCTAGGTAAGGCGTCCGTCATTCGAATTTCAATTTGAATTTGTTTTTCGTCTTTTTCATAAATAGGTTGATAGAACGTGAACTACTGATCGTGGAAAACTAGGTTTTAACATTAATAGACACTTCTTTCAAGCAACAAAAAAACCTCAAAACTTAGTGAATGTCATTTTCCGAGAAAAATGCAATTTTCTCAAACTACGCAAATATTTTGTTTCAGTCTGCTTAAAAGCTTCTGAAACTAGGTTTTTTCTGACTCACGAGGAGGGTGCCCGAAGTGATTAACTGTTTTTGAGTCGAGACTATGTGCATCATATAGTACCTATTGAGTTATGAATACCCTGAAAAAGGTTAGGGTCCATAGCTTACTGCTGACAAAATACTGCATTTTTACGGTATTTTTTTAACAGGATACCATGGTTCTCCTCAGGAACACCAGGAAAACTTATTTTGGAACTTCGACTTGAAAGTTTGCTGAGATATAAGCCTTAATGGAAATGGTTTATGAGAAAAGTTTTAAATCTTGTGGTTGTTCCTATCCTGAAATACAGCTATGGTCAAAGTGTATCTTTTATATCGCTCATATATATAGACAGATTCGATATTCGTATTTCAAGATAGGAACAACCAAAAGATTTGAAACTTTCCTCATAAACTATTTCCATTAAGGTTTATATCTGTGCAAACTTTCAAGTCGAAATTCGAAAATAAGTTTTCCTGGTGTTTCTGAGGGGAACCACGGCATTCTGTTAAAAGATACCGTAAAAATGTAGTATTTTGTCAGCAATAAGCTATGGACCCGAACTCTTTTCAGAATACTCATAGCTCAATAAGTACTATATGATGCACATAGTCTCGACTCAAAAGCAGTTAATCACTTCAGATACTTCCCTCGTCAGTATAAAAGATTGAGTATAAAAACAATATTAAATTGATTCTATTCCAAAAATCCTGTTAATGTTGAACACTCTTTATCCTTGCTCTGAATTTCTGCTGACTCATGCTTGTTAATCTACCTATTATCGATCTTTTGAAAAAAGTCGCTTCGAAAGAATGCTTGTAATTTTTAAAGAGAAAGTGATAGACATCGGCGGTTTTCATTGTTGGATAGAGTACAACGGAGTACGTAGCACTATAATTAATCAGATCTTCAGGCAAGACTTACCATGGCAAACTGGAGTTTGAGAAACGTTATTGGACTTGAATCAGCTTGGAAAGAGGTTACACCTTTGCGAAAAATACTTATAACTCTCGAACTGTAAGAGATACCGATCAGAGACTGGTCTAGTATCCTAGATCTCCATCCGAGCTATTGATTTCATTATTTGGAAATCAAAATCCGTCCTACATGTAGAGAATGACAAT